GCCACCGTGGTTTGGGGGTGGCTGATATCCGGGCACATTGCGGCTGGGGCAGGAGATAACTGGGATCTCAAACGGCTCCGTTGGGTGTCTGAGTTGGATCAGGGCCGGAAGGAGGCTGTGCCGGGGGTTTTCCTTGTGCTGGCAGACAGTCGGGGTGCAGCGGAGGGATGGAGAGTATTCCACAGGATGGGAATGCCACAGGTCACTGCACTGGAAGACACTTTGCATCCTGCCCCGCTGCTCTGGGTCAGGAGCTGCGTGTCCCCGGCTCCAGGGCACTATCCAGGGGTTGAGGAACGGGACAGCCAGTGCTGGGATGGCCGAGGGACGGGACACCGGCTGTAAATGTTTGGGAGATAACACCAGGAAAGGGGAAGAACTGCTGAAACCGAGGAATGGCATTGGCAGAGCCTCAGGAACACCACAGTGAGGAGGAGGCTCCTCTACTAGGACACTGGGACCAGCTGATTTTGGGTCAGCTGGTGTGGGAAGGGTCAGGGGGAAGGGAGGTCTCTTCCTACTTGGATTTTCTGTGCTTTGCTGGAGGCAGGGCTTTGGAAGCAGCAGGATGAGGGGAAGGGGAACATCCCACGTGTGTGGGTGCTGTCATCCAGCAGGGATGAGGGGAAGGGGAACATCCTAGGTGTGTCAGTTCTGTCACCCAGCAGAGATGAGGGGAAGGGGGACATCCTGGGTGTGTCAGTGCTGTTCCCCAGCAGTTCGGTCCCTCTCAGCAGGAATCGGCAGAGCCCTGAGCACCGGGTACTGTCGCCTGTGCCACGGGAAGTTCTCCTCCAGGAGCCTGCGCAATGCCTTTGGGAAGGTGCCCGTGGTGGGGGAGAACTCGGAGAAGCAGCGGCGCGTGGACCAGGTGTTCTTCACCGACTTCCAGCGGCTGGTGGGGGTGGCGGTGCGGCAGGACCCGGCGCTGCCGCAGTTCGTCTGCAAGAAATGCCATGCCCAGTTCTACAAGTGCCGCAGCGTCCTCCGCACCTTCATCCAGAGGGTGAACGCTTCGCCCACAGGCCATGCCAGGTCCAAAGGAAAGTAGGTGGCCTTTCTCCCGTCCCAGGAGCAGTGTGGTGCTGCACAGTGCTGCATGGTGCCACGTGGTCCCTCCATGACCCCCCAGCCCCACTCTGCTGCTCTGGTTTTTGCAGGAGCGGCGCGGCCCTGGCACAGCCGGGCATGGAAGGAGGTGCCTCCTGCCTGGGTGAGTGTCTGCTCCTGGAGCTGCTCCCTTTTTCCTTCTGCCATGCCACCAGCTGGGGTTGATGGGTGATGGGGAATGACCATGTGCAGGGCAGGTCTGGTGTCCTTTGACACGGCTGGTTATGGTTCCCCTTCCTCCCTCTGGCCTCCTGGGAGGACCCTCACCTTCCCAAACTGAGCCAAACAGGCACAAGCTCACCTGGGTGTGCAAAGAGCAGGTGGAGCGGGTTTGGGTGGCAGTGCCAGGCCTGTTCCAGCCGCTGTTGGACACCGGGGACAATCAGAAATGTTCTTTCAGCTGTGAAGTGAAAGATGGAGGAAGGTGGTGGAATCACCGTCCCTGGAGGTCTTTAAGTAAAGACTGGACGTGGCACTCAGTGCTCTGGTCTGGTTGACAAGCTGATGATGGGTCACAGGTTGGACTCAATGATCCTAAAGGTCTTTTCCAATCTCATTGATCCTGGCAGGTGCTGGATCTGCCCCGCTCCAGCCCACCTGGGTGCAACCCCTTAGAGTGGCTCCCACGTGCCTTCTGGGGCAGCCCCGGGGGGAACAGTTCCACATCCCTGTCCCCTCTGTGTCCCCTGCTGCCAATCGCTGTCCCCAGGCCTGACTGTGCTGCCTCTGTCCTGCACAGTTGACCTGATCACGTCCAGCCCGCAGTGCCTGCACAGCCTGGTGACATGGGCGCACACCCACGCCGGGAGCTGCCCCTCGGTGCCCGGCCTGCGGAGTGTCCTGTCTTCCGAGTACTGTGGCATCATCCGCGCTGTGTGGGGCTGCGGGGACGGCCACGACTACATCATGGACACGGCCTCGGACTGCAGCACCGTGCTGGTGGACAACGCCCTGGCTGTCAAACGCGAGTGGAGCAAGGGCACGGCACAACAGCGCTTGACTGACAACGGGGCTGGAGCAGACAATGCCGAGGCTGTTCCTGCTCCCAAAGCCCAGTATGCTCCAGTAAGGACAGCTCCTTGCCAGCAGCCCGCGAACAAAGGGACCACGGCGGTGCCACTGGATGTGGAGGACGAGTCACTGCAGGACAGGGATCCATCCCGCTCGGAGCTGGACAGCGCAGCCTCTGTGCGGGAGCAGGCCCTGCCACAGCCCGTGTCCCCGCTGAGCACTGCCACAGGTAAGGGATTTGCCTCCTGATCTCCCGCCTGGCTTCTGGGGAAGGGAAGGGAGCTGGAGATGTGGCCCAGAGAGCGATGGGGGGTGGACCCCCTTCTTGGAGACTGCTGCTCCTCAGGAAGGACACAGATTCATCTGGGAAGTGCTGACTGCCCGGAGAATTGGCTCCAACTAGGGATGGGTAGGCTGAGTGTTGCAGAAGGGACAGGGTAACACAGGGTCATACTTCTCTCCCCATGTGCTGCTCCCCCTCTGATGGGGGGGCCAGACCCTGCTGCCATGCTCTTCCCAGGGACACAGCGTGGAGCAGTTGCTGGTTCTCCAGCACCACCTTTGCCAGATGTTTTTTTCTGCCAAACCCCAGGAGCCCCTTCTGTCCCCAAAGGAAAACTTCTGGGTGGGCTTGGACTGAGTGAACATGGGTTTGCTTCTGAACTGCCACAAGCACCACTTTCATAAATGAGGAATTAACACCTATTTTGAGTTCCAGAAGTGGGGCTGTGTTTAGCTCCAGTATCCACAGGAGATGTCTGCTGCTGGACACAGGAATGGCAGCTGGGACTTGCTTGGGGACAAGTCTTTCAATTATGGGTGTCACAGGGGGAACCGAAAGCTGCTCCTGGGAGCTGCAGGGCCAAGGCTGTCCTGTCCCAGAGTGCAGGGAGAGCCATCTCTGAGCATGCAGACATAGTCTGGTTTAAACAATCATTGATTTGTCATGGAGCATGTGTTTCCTTCCCATGGTGTGACCACGCCGAGCACACCCAGAGCAGTCGGTTCCTCCTCGGCAGCCGTGGCTCTGCTGCTTTTCCTTGTAACGCACCATGTTCTCCTTCATTCCCTAGGACAGTTGAGTGGGAAGCAGGTTCTGTCTGCAACGTCGGATGAGCGGGTAAAAGACGAGTTCAGTGACCTTTCTGAGGGGTGAGAGAAGAGTGGGTTTAAAATAGCCTAAATGTCTTCTTTGCCAGTGTGAACTGCCCCAACTCGCAGAGCTCTTTCTCCACCAGCGCCCCGGCCCTGGCGGCCCCTCAGAACCGGTGCCGGAGTGGCGGCTCTGCCGCAGCCGCCATGGGGCTCCTGGCACTGAGGCTTTGAGCTCCCCTCCTCTGCTGGCAGGGGTTTGCACACACGTGTGCTTCGCGTTTGGTGGCTGCTTCCAGCAGTCCTGGCCCTGTTTCATCCCCTCTCTGATCTGGAGGAGAAGCCATGCCGGGGGCTCGCTTGGTCTGGGTGGTGCTGCTCCAGCTCCTCAGCCTCGGAGCAATTCCCATTGTGGCTGGGGCTGCGGGAGAGCAGTGGGAGCTGGAATGCAGGCACGGGGTGGCACGTGGAGAAACCGCCCCGTTTGCTCCCGGGGAGAGCGATTAACTGGGAAGTGGGAGCGGGAGGGAGCTTGGCAGCTCCACAGTCCGTGTGAGCAAAGATTTGGCTCAATCCTTCCAACACAAGTATTTGGAGTGGGGCTGTAAATACACCAATCCAGGCATTCCAAAGGGCCAAGTGCAGAGTGAACTATCAGCTGAACTATCAGCTGTCACATTAAAAGTGCCACAACAATTTATTGCCTCTTTCCTGGCTTTGGGAATTAATTGTTTCTTCCATGGCTTAAAACGTAAAAGAAGGAAAAAGAAAAACCCAAACCCACGTGGCTGCTACATTTGAGGGAACACAGAATGACCTGCAGCTTCATTAACCTGTGCCAGACAATTATGTGACATTCTTGCTCCACAAAATTCCTTCTCCCAGTAGAGGAAGCGGAGCCACATCCCTCACCCATGAATAGATCCTTTCAGTAACAGCCATTTTTTTGTTCTCCTGACAGTGGTTCGATTATTCTTGCAGAGATTTAGTCCTAAAAGGACCTGATTTGGGTCTTTGCTCTCTTGGGGAGAGGCCGGGGAGGACACAGAGTGGCTGCCATGCCCCGCGGTGGGGATGGATATGCTGGGAACAGGGAACTGCTGGTGCCCAAGGGCCATCCAGGTGCTGTGTGGGTAAAGGGTTTCTTCTCTCTCTCAGGGACTTCCTGAGTGATGATGAAAGTGAGAAGAGAAACGTGCAATCCTCAGATGACTCCTTTGAGCCTTATCCCGACAAGAAGTAAGGGGCTCTTGGGGTAGGGTGGGGGGGCTGGTGCTCATCCCCGCAGGGCCAGCACATCATTTCTTATGGCTTTGTTCCCTACACATTCCTGTGGGGTCACAGGGGTGCCCCCAAGCCCCACATCAGGCTGAAGCTGGGCCACATCCCTGATCCCCAGGCCCAGCACAGCCATAGCCTGGTTCGTGTACCTGGGGCTGTGTGTGCTCCTGCTTTGCCAGGTTAAGCATCAACCCGGGGGACACTTGGGTGGGAGGACTAAAATCAAGATCAAGTCTTAAACCACTGTCCTGATTCCTTTTTGGAGGGTTTCTGGCAAGAAGAGCGACAGCAAAGAAGCAAAGAAAGTGGAAGAGCCCAAAATAAGGAAGAAGCCGGGGCCTAAGCCAGGCTGGAAAAAAAAAATCAAATGTGAACGGTAAGGAGGCTCTGGGAGGCTGGGCCCCAGCCCCATGCCTGCACTGCCTCACACAGCTCTGCTTCCAGGGAGGAGCTGCCCACCATCTACAAGTGTCCTTACCAGGGCTGCACTGCTGTCTACAGAGGGGCTGATGGCATGAAGGTGAGCTGGGGTCTGCTCCCATCC